ACACACACACACACACACACACACACACAACACACACACACCACACACACCCCCACACACACACACACACACACACACACACACACACACACACACACACACACACACACACACACACACACACACACACACACACACACACACACAGTGTGTGAGTATTTACAGTAAACCCTATCATTAACAGACTAATAGAGTGGAGGGGATATATGATATTCAGTTATCCGAAATTTCCTTATTATGAAATTAATTTTTCATCATCATCCCTTTGTCTTCTGAATTAGTAGACTGCGTGGTTCACTAATGCAGAGTGACAACCAAATCCTAAGAATATGGATATTGTAGCCTGTAGTACTACAGTACAGCACTGTAATGTATACAAATTTTGTAAGTGCTGTATGTGTTCAATAATTTCTCTTAGCTTTTTGTGGTGGAGATACAAGGTGTAAACAGCTATGATCACTAGTGATGGTTCTAAATAATTTTTATTCACTCGAAGGAGTTGTCATGCTCTACTGGCATGTACACTAAACTTAAGAACATAATCTAAGTTTCTTTGCTTCTACAGACTTCAGACATTATTTCCTTGTCATTTTCCTCGCATTCCCGTGCCACTGAAATACCATACTCAGCCTTCTATATTAAAGTTTCTGCTTAATACTAAGAACCACACGTTTCCTCTTTGCACCACCACTTGATTTAGAAGCCATTATAAATTGCACTTTACTTAATTAATGTTAATAGTCATACAAAACACTTAATCCAGGGAAAAATTAGAGACTGAATGACAAGTGAATGTATGAGCACAGACAGTAAACTGGTGTGACTTGCCTACAGGTTAGTGAACAGTGAAAACAAATAAGTCTTGGACATAGCTGCTTTGGCCCGTACTGGACGAACATCAGACTCGGTCCGATACTTCAAAAGACAATTGGACATTACTGGTACATGTAGCTACTGTGAAAATATGCATGGGGGATACATGAGCACAAAAACGTGTGTAACAGAGGTGACATAAATAATGTGTGGGTAGTCCACAGAAACACAAAGGGATTCCTGATGAGTTGGACCTGTGCACAGGTGAATTTCAGATCTTGGCAAATGTCAGTGTTTAGAAGTGCCTCTGACTGCTGTAAAAAATGCAGTTGCATAAAGAGAAAGTTTCAATACTGCCACCTCACTAGCACATGCTAATCTGCCCATAATCAGATACAGCCATCAAAGTGCTTGCATAAGAACACAAGAATGAAGGGGCACTGCAGTAGGTGTACTGGCCTATGTTAGATGGGTCCTTCTCAGATCTACCGTTTTTATTGCTAACATATTTGCACAGCCCTAGGTAGTAGGTTGGTAAACAGCAACAGCCCAGGAAGGTACTACCGTCCTGCCAAGTGAGTGTACAACGAAAACCTGTAATTGTTTTACATGATGGTAGGATTGCTGGTGTCTTTTGTCTGTCTCATAAACATGCAAGATTTCAGGTATGTCTTGCTACTTCTACTTGCACTTAGGTCACACTACACATACATGTACAATCATATATATACACACCCCTCTGGGTATTCTTCTATTTTCTTTCTAGTTCTTGTTCTTGTTTATTTCCTCTTATCTCCATGGGGAAGTGGAACAGAATTCTTCCTCCTTAAGCCAGGCATGTTGTAAGAGGGGACTAAAATGCCGGGAGCAAGTGGCTAGTAACCCCTTCTCCCGTATAAATTACTAAATTTAAAAGAGAAGCTTTCGTTTTTCTTTTTGGGCCACCCTGCCTTGGTGGGATACGACCGGTTTGTTGAAAAAAAAAAATTGCACAACCTGTTTTTGAAGCTACTCGAGGTTTTTTAACCATCCAACCTCACAAGCTTAACCCTTTCAGGGTCGACAGGCCTTCTCAGAGACTTGTTCTCGGGTTGCGCCAAATTTCAAAAAAAAAAAAAATTGTTTTTTTTTTCTTATGAAAAGATAGAGAACTTTTCCCGATCATAATGACACCAAAAGTATGAAATTTGATGGAAAACTTACAGAATTATGCTCTCGCGAAGTTAGCTGTCTCGACGATGTTTACGCATTGGCGATTTTGCCCACTTTGAGCCCCATTTTCGGCCACTTCCACTGTACTAGTCGACAGCAATCACGAATATTTCGCTAGAACTCCATTTTTTCTATCGAATGAGTGCAAGAAACCACCCATTTACCGATTTCAACTATCCAATACAGTGATCAGAATTTAACAATTTTGCCAATTTCACACAAATTTCAAAAGATGCCAATTTCTAAATAGGGTCCAGAATAAACAAGAAAGACATTCCTGGCACTAAAATGACATTTCCTCTGTTCATTAGTCATGTCCCAATGCCCCTCTTACATTCTTTTGCTTTCCACTTTGAATTTTTATTCTCACAAAAAATGGAAGATTTACTGTTATGCAGACTACTGCATTAGTGTAAAAAATGGTATAAATAATATCGGCGCACTTGTGAAAGAGTATTAGACTCACCAGTTGACGTATATTGGACGCTTAGCATGATTTGTTTACTTTTGAACTTTGGTAAAAATCGAACATTTCTGCTACTTTGAGCTCAATTTCAAGGTAATTTTCATTGTAAAATCACTCAAAATCATCTCAATTTCTGTAATATGTCTTCCATTCTATAGAATGAGACCAGGAAAACTAGAATACAACAATAAATACCATACGAAAATACAGTGCAAAATCACTGTTTTAATCCAAAAACACGGTTTAAAGTTTTTTTTTTTCTCATTATGCACTGTGTGCTGCAGGATTTTTTTTTATACTGCACACACTGACCACATAGACCCATTCTTTCATATGTAACCCTACCAGCTTTCTCTCACTAGATATGAGGGCGCTAGAATTTAGGCGTACTAGTACGTCAAAAACCATGGTGTGTAAGCCGTACTAGTATGGCCGAAACCCTGAAAGGGTTAAATAGTTAGGAAGACATTCAAGTGTCTTCCAAACTATTTAAGCTTGTACTTTTGTATCCATATGTGCATTTGGAGTGACCATGAGCCCAGGACCAATACATTTACAATAAATTGCCTTAATATTTTCATTTTGTCTTTTTCCATTACCTATCAGTGCCACATACCATTTAATAGTATACTAGCATTTTACAATGTACTATAGTTTCCATTAGTTTCATGCTTATGGTTACTGAAGTACTGTTTTATATCTTATTAAATCATAATTTACCAGTTAACATTCTTATTTTAGGATATTATTTCATATTAAAATTTTATTTATAAATATATTTGCATTAATTTAATTTGGTGTATTTCACATTTATATTTTATTTCAGTCTTTTGTGTTGATTTTGCTGTGCTACCAGTTGTACAATGGCTTCAGTGGTAGCAGCATGATAGACCAGATGTACCTGATGGTGTTCAACCTTCTCTTCACTTCTATACCTCCTATCTTAGTTGGTAGGTTCATCATTTCTTTAGAACAACTGTTTGAAAAATAAATAGAAAACTGGTTCAGTATTTTTTTTTCATTTATGAAATTATGTTACTTAATGAAATTTCTTCAAAGTAGGTTGATAGTAAAAGTTTTCCTTACTCAGTAAAAGTTTTTTTTATCAGGGTTCCTCCTATGTGATTCATCCATCTGTTTGATTTTTTCTTTATATGTTCCAGTTAAATTTTAGATTGGACATTCAACAGGTGGGTGTGGGTGGGTTTGTGTGTGTGTGTGTTTTTGTTAGGAGTGGGGGTGGGCATTTATAGCATCTGCTTCCTGTGTCATTGGCATCATCATTGAGAGGTGGCATAGTTGTAAATAGTTGACATTAGCATTTTGATAAAAAATGGGTAAAGGAGGTAAAGGGGGTAAAGGAGGTTTTGTGGGCAAGGGGCTTGGACTTCCAGCAAGCATGCATGAGCGTGTTAGATAGGAGTGAATGGAGATGAATGGTACTTGGGACCTGACGATCTGTTGGAGTGTGAGCAGGGTAATATTTAGTGAAGGGATTCAGGGAAACCGGTTATTTTCATATAGTCGGACTTGAGTCCTGGAAATGGGAAGTACAATGCCTGCACTTTAAAGGAGGGGTTTGGGATATTGGCAGTTTGGAGGGATATATTGTGTATCTTTATACGTATATGCTTCTAAACTGTTGTATTCTGAGCACCTCTGCAAAAACAGTGATTATGTGTGAGTGTGGTGAAAGTGTTGAATGATGATGAAAGCATTTTCTTTTTTGGGTCACCCTGCCTTGGTGGGAGACGGCCGACTTTTTGAAAAAAAAAAAAAAAAATTTTAATATTATTTGGCTTACCATTTTTATTATAGTAGAGTGGAATTCTTGACTTTCAAACAAAGTGATTAGTATTTGACAACCTTTCTTGACTTTGAAATGTTCTGGAGACAGTTTTAGTTTAACCCTTTGACTGTCGCAACCCCCAATCCTGAGGTGTCTCCTGGTGTCGCAAAATTTAAAAAAAAAATAATTTTTTCTTATGAAATGATAGAGAATCTTTTCCTGATTGTAATGACACCAAAAACACAAAATTTGATGGAAAACTGATGGAATTACGCTCTCATGAAGTTAGCGACCTTGGCGATATTTACAAATCGGCGATTTCGCTCACTTTGAGCCCTATTTTCGGCTAAGTCCATTGTTCCAGTCGACCAAACTCATAGCTATTTCTTTAGAACTCCATTTTTTTCTATCGATTGAGTACAAGAAACTGCCCATTTACCAATTTCAACTACCCAATAACATGGTCAGAAATTTGCAATTTGGCCAATTTCACGAAAATTAAAAAATGTGACAATTTCAAAATAAGGTCCAGAATGAACAAGGCAGACATTCCTGGCTCTAAAATAACATTTTCTTTGTTCATCAGTCACATCTCCAGGGCTCTCTGATATTACTCTTGCTTTCTATTTTGAATTTTTATTCAAACAAAAAATAGAAGATTTACTGTTACGCAGACTACTGCAATACTATAATAATTGTATAAATAACATCAACCCATTCAGGACTGCATATTAGAATGGCTAGTTGGACATTTATTGGACAATGACATCATTTGTTTACTTTTGAACATCGGCAAAAATCAAACATTTCCCCTACTTTGAGCTCCATTTCCAGGTTCTTTTTATAGTAAAATCAGTCGAAATCACCTCTATTTCTATAAAATGTTTTCCATTCAATCACTTGAGACCAAGAAAACGAGAATACAACCATAAATACTATACAAAAATAGACCACAAATTCGGCATTTTAATTAAAAAAAATGGTCGGTGTTTTTTTTTCTCATTATGCACTGCGTGCTCCAGGATTTTTTTTTATATGGTGCACACTTACCACACAGTCCCATTCTCTCACATGTGGGTCTACCAGCTTTCTCCTGCTTGATTTGAAGTCACTAGAATTTGAGTATATATACGTCAAACATGGTACCTCATAAGACGTATATATACGACCGCGACAGTCAAATGGTTAACAGCAGGGAACCTGCACTCTACAGGTGCAGTCTTTTCTGGAACCATTAAAATTTTTTCATGAAGACTAACTACTGCACTGTAACCTTCTCCAAGTCATTCAGCTATATAAAATGCAATATTTCTGTTTTTTATTTTTATGTAAACAGCTATTTAGTTGTGATTTTTAGCAACAAATCATAGAACTTTTTCTAGTTAAATTTTAGTGACTGAAAAGCAAGCACTGGAAATAGTTTCCTTAACAGACAGTGGAGTATGTAATAGCGCTAAAATTCTTCTCCTTGACTGTCGCAACCCCAAATCCTGAGGTATCTCCTGGTGTCGCAAAATCATCCCCCCCCCCCCCCCCCTCCCCCCTTTTTTTTTTTTCTTATTAATGATAGGGAATCTTTTCCCGATTGCAATGACACCAAAAGAACAAAATTTGATGGAAAACTGATGGAATTACGCTCTCGTGAAATTAGCGACCTCGACGATATTTATAAATCGGCGATTTCGCCCACTTTGAGCTATATTTTCAGCTAATTCCATTGTTCCAGTCGACCAAACTCATAGCTATTTCTTTAAAATTCCATTTTTTCTATCGATTGAGTACAAGAAACTGCCCAGTTACCTATTTCAACTATCCAATAATGTGGTCAGAAATTTGCAATTTGGCCAATTTCACGAAAATTAAAAAATATGACAATTTCAAAATAGGGTCCAGAATGAACAATGCAGACATTCCTGGCTCTAAAATAACATTTTCTTTGTTCATCAGTCATGTCTCCAGGCCCCTCTGATATTACTCTTGCTGTCTATTTTGAATTTTTATTCAAACACAAAATAGAAGATTTACTGTTATACAGACTACTGCAATATTGTAATAATTGTATAAATAACATCAACCCATTCATGACTGCATATTAGAATGGCTACTTGGACATTTATTGGAAAATGACATCATTTGTTTACTTTTGAACATTGGCAAAAATCAAACATTTCCCCTACTTTGAGCTCCATTTCAAGGTTCTTTTCACAGTAAAACCAATCAAACTCACCTCTATTTCTATAATATGCTTTCCATTCTATCAAATAAGACCAAGAAAACGAGAATACAACCATAAATACTATACAAAAATAGACCACAAATTCGGCATTTTAATTAAAAAAAATGGTCGGCGTTTTTTTTTTTCTCATTATGCACTGCGTGCTGCAGGATTTTTTTTATATGGTGCACACTTACCACACAGACCTATTCTCACACATGTGGGCCTACCAGCTTTCTCTTGCTTGATTTGAAGCCGCTAGAATTTATGAGTACAGTGGACCCTCGACCAATGATGGCATCGTCTAACGTTAAATCCGACTAGCGATACATTTTAACGCAAAAATTTTGCCCCGACTAGCGCTAAAAAACTCGACCAACGCGATTCGTTCCGTTCGAGATGCGTCCACTTGTGGCCAGTGTTTACAAGCCAGCCAGCCACCACGGTCCCATCCAAATATACAGTTGGAACATTTCATATTATCACAGCGTTTTTAGTGATTGCACCTGCAAAATAAGTCACCAAGGGCCCCAAGAAAGGGGAGGATGTGGAAGAGTTGGTGGAGGACGACAATGATGAACTAACCACTGATGAGCTGCAAGATCATCTTTAACAGCAAGAGGCCAGACCTGAGGAAACTGCTCCAGATGAGGGGATAGAAAAATTGAGGAAGTTGCCTACTTCAAAGATTAAGGAAATGTGTGCAATGTGGCTTAAAGTGCAAACCTTTTTTGATGAAAATCACCCTGACACAGCTACTGCAAGCTGTGTTGGCAACCTGTACACTGACAATGTTATGGCCCATTTTAGGAAAGTCTTAAAGGAACAGGAGGTACAGAGCTCTATAGACAAATATGTTGTGTGACAGAGGTCCAGTGACTCAAGCTGGTCCTAGTGGCATTAAAAGAAGAAGGGAAGTAACCCCGGAGAAGGACTTGACACCTCAAGTCCTAATGGAAGGGGATTCCCCTTGTAAACACTATCACCATCCACACACTCCCCTTCTCCCATCCCATCAATCATCACCAGATCTTCAGTAAAGGTAAGGGTCATGTAATTGTACATGTCTTCTTCAGTTTGTGTGTATTAAAATTAATATTTCATGTGGTAAATTTTTTTTTTTTTTTCAATACTTTGGGGTGTTAGGAACGGATTAATTTGATTTCCATTATTTCTTATGGGGAAAATTAACTCGACTAACGATAATTTCGACTAACGATGAGCTCTCAGGAACGGATTAATATCGTTGGTCGAGGGTCCACTGTATGTATACGTCAAAAACAATGGCTCGTAAGACGTGTATATATATGACCAAAACAGTCAAAGGGTTAATGGATTTAGATTTGAGAATTTAATATTAACCTGGTTAAGTATAGTGTCATATTTGTGTGGTGGTGTTGGAAATAATCATTTGAGGGTAGTAGGAGGTAAGGAAAAATGGAGCAGATGCTCTGATTTCCCTGCTTGAATATCTTCCCAAAGGGATTTCTTAGTGATGACATCAAATATTACTGAGATAAAATTATAGCATGAGGACACTTCTCACAGCATATGAGATAGATCTGAATCCAGTTTACATGGCTTTTAGTAAAATTGAGATAAAATAATTTAGGTTTAGTTTTTTTTTTCTTTAATCTTGTCTCAAGCAGTGGCAAATAGTTTTACTCTTCAAGAGGGCAATAGATGATACTTCAAATCCAGTGTTGTATATTCCAAGGACCAATTTTGAGGTGATACATGATCCTGTCTGACAAGTTTCAGGTTTAGCCCTTTCATTGTCTGAAACTTGTTCACAGCATTCAAGAAGTAAAAAAAAAAAAAAATTCTTATGAAATGGTAAAGACACTTTCTGAAAGTAATAAAACAAAAAGTATGAAATTTGGTGGAAAATTGACAAAAATTACACTTTCACAAATTTTGCTGTGTCAGCCATATTTATGCATCTG